TGTCCTTTCTTTTGACATTCACCAATATCATGAAAGTATTTTGTTTAATATAAGGGCCGTTCACCTGTTTTTTGGGTAGAGGGTTCACAAAATACTTTTCAACTCTCAGAAAAAAATATGCACATGCATTAAATACTCTACATTTATACATTGGGCAAAGAAGCTATTTTTTAAAATATATTTGATTTTTCTTTTTTTACAGAGAGGAATGGGAAGGGATAGAGAGTTAGAAACATCAATGAGAGAGAAACATCGATCAACTGCCTCCTGCATGCCTCCTACTGGGGATGTGCCCACAACCAAGGTACATGCCCTTGACCAGAATCGAACCTGGGACCCTTCAGTCTACAGCCCAACGTTCTATCCACCGAACCAAACCAGCTAGGGCCGTGGTCGACAAACTGCGGCTCGCGAGCCACATGCAGCAATTTGGCCCCTTGAGTGTGGCTCTTCCACAAAATACCACGGTCTGGGAGAGTGTGTAACTTGAAGAAGTGCTATTAGAAGAAGTTTAAGTTTAAAAAATTTGGCTCTCAAAAGAAATTTCAATCGTTGTACTGTTGATATTTGGCTCTGTTGACTAATGAGTTTGCAGACCACTGACTAGGGCAAAGAAGCTATTCTTATGGACATTTGCCTTAGAAGAATCACAACCATTTCACTATTAAAAGAAATGTGTTCTTAAAAATTTGTTCCCATGTTATTTACATTACTCAACATTTCTGCAAAAGAACAATGCGTTTGCCAGTATTGTTACATAGGTAACAAACAATGATCATAAAATTATGTTACAAATTTTTGGGGTCAGAATAGGAATACATTTGGTGTTAAAGAGTTTTAACTCCAAGCTTGAAGTATTCTAATTCCATTTTCCCTTCACTCTACTAAAGTGTAAAATATAGTAAGAAAGATTTTAGTAATAGAATTAAAATCAACTTTACTACTAAAACACTGAGACACTCTAGTTTTAAAAGGAAAGAAGTCACACATTAGCATAATATATAAAAACCATTCATAAAAAGTGTTATACTAAGAATTATGGTGAATTGAAACATTACCAACATGGCCAAATATCATGTTTTTTACTAGTACATTTCATTTTATTAAAATAATTACTAAGTTTTAATGTGATTCTAAATCAATGGATATTTTTCAAAGCATACAAATCATTTGATATTTAATATTATATCCATGCTCTAATTTCATCGATATTAAACTTACCTTTCTTTTTGGTCCAGATTGCTTAAAACATAAAAAAGAAAAAAAATGTAAGAGGTAAGACCTCATTTTTGATATATCACTGTAGTTTTAGTAACTATAAATAAGGTAAAACTCTAATGTGATTAATTTGTTTTCAATACATTATATACTGTTTTGAATCTTGTCAGATATATAAACTGTTTTTCAATTTTTGTCAATAGAGAAAATACATTATATCTAAACATATTTAAGGAAGAAAAAATGATATACAAAGATATGAAAAATTCTTGAAAGCTTTAATTAACCACCCAACATTTGAGTATATGTTATTTTATAGTTATGTAAATAAGTCTTCAAGAAACAATACAATTTCCTGAAAGTCATACAATAATTTTAGTGGTTCCAACTCTATTATTAGATGTGATTATTTGATTCTGAGCAAGAAAAAGAAATTTTAAAGTTGAAACTTTTGCACCAAAGCCTTATTGTATGGTTTGGGATACAAGGAAAGTTGTGAGATTTAAGGTGATGGCCTCTAATCAAAATCCTAATGTATAAAAGATACACCCTTCTCCATAGTTCATAGAAAACATAAAAAACTACGAACATTAATTACTTAAAAGTTATTAAAGCCCTCAATTTATAATAAAATCCACATTCTAAAAATATTACTTTTTATTAGTAAAGAAACTAAATATTCAGAACTAAGCAAAAACAGTTTGCAAAATCCTTAAGTCCCCACATTAACTCTTGTATTTATTTTCTTCCCCTATGGGCCTTTCAAGTCTTTTTTACCTACCCTTAATAAAAACAAACAAACAAAAAAAACCAAAAAGTGAAATGTAAGTAAAACATAAACCACTAAATGTGCTCTTGTAGCAAGACTGATGAAAATTAGAGGTGAAGATGGTATTGAGTTATATACATTTTTTAATTTCTGCTTTTTTCCATACCTTCTCCTCCATCACTGTTAGTAAATCAAGAACCCATCTTTTAATATGAATTAAATTAACATTTGGAATAGCAATAAGAAAATAGACTGGGATGGTAATATCTCCCATATAGTAGCTAATCTGATCTGATATTTTAACAATTTTCATTCATTTTTTTTAGATTAAAAAGGTGTGACATACTTGTTCCCGTATCTTACTAAATCACTATAAATTATTTAAAAAAAAGGTCTGATTTATTTACGAGACAAGTTATACCACACTCTAAGAAGAATAGACTGTATGTGTGAATTATTAACTGGTGGCATATCCTTTAATTTCAAATTAAGGACTGAAAAAATAAAAATTAGAAACTATAAAAAACCAATGTGCTACTGTCACCTGAAGCCTACTAAGTAAAACCAATGAGTAAGTATCTTTTTTCATGTGGTTTCTGTTGCATGCAGTATTCTCATTTTTCTAGTAGACTCAAAAGTTACTTTAACACTTCCTTTGTGAATTATATACCCCTCCCTTTTCTGTAAATAGTACTACACATACTTTGTATATCTCTCCTACTGCAATTACCAGGAAATTGTTCACTTGCTTTCTGACCTCCACCTTTATCAGACTTGAACTTTAAGGCAGGGACTTTGTCATATTCATCTTTGACTACTCTGTACCTCACCTATGCCTGGTGTATAGTATGAAATGAATGTTTTTGAAGGAAGAAAACTGGAAAAACTCTCAATGACTTGTCTTTGAATTTTAAAATATTCTCAATGACAGTTACTTTGCAACAGGAGGTATAAAAATGCTTATTCTATAAGTAAAAAATAAAAGTAGAATCTATCCTGCTGACAAAACTGTGTTTTCCTTATTGCTCCTGGTTTTCCTTGTCAAGTATTTTAGTTCAGGATTATTTCTTTAAATATAAACTAAGTCAGATTTTGGTTTTTTATTTTTAAGAAAAATTTTACTAGTGAATAGCAGTTTCTATTAACAGAATCTAATCTTTCATGAACATGAGTAATGATACACATGCATGGTAATAATAAAGTGTACAGACCTAGAATAAAACAAAGCAAACCAATTGATTTCCAGAATAAAGTCAGTTTTTTAACATAACCAACAAGGAAAAGGGAATGAGGAGGAGTCATAGTGTAAATAAATCCAAACTAACAGATAACTTCAAAAGCAATAATAATTTTGGTTGCAGAACATATCACTTGATCATAAATTAGTATTTCAACTTAGAGCTCATTTTCAGAATATCAAGAACACAGATCTTGCCGAAACCGGTTTGGCTCATTGGATAGAGCGTCGGCCTGCGGACTGCAAGGTCCCAGGTTCAATTCGGTCAAGGCATGTACCGTGGTTGCGGGCACATCCCCAGTAGGGGGATGTGCAAGAGGCAGCTGATCAATGATTCTCTCTCATCGATGTTTCTAACTCTCTATCCCTCTCTCTTCCTCTCTGTAAAAAAATCAATAAAATATATATTAAAAAAAACCCACACAGATCTTTACCAGCAGTGGAATCTATCAATGTGATCAATGTGTGAGAAAATTACACCTCTCCTTTTTCTTTCCCCCTCATTACTCTCTTTTTCTTATTTAGTCTCTTGTGTATGCCACATGTATGCCAGAGAGCTAGATTTGTTTCTGTACTTTGTAATAAAGCAAGCCAATTTTTGGTAGTTCTCTTTCTTTTTAGTTGAATTTCCCAAATATTTTATGTGAAAAGTATGATTAAAACCTGATATATTTTAGTAAAAAAGTTTTTTTTTTTTTACTATTCTAATACAATGAGAAAGATTTAAGATTTTTAAGTAAAAAATACATGTTATAGAAAATCTATGTAAAAAGTAAACATAACAATGGTTTATAATAGGACACTGTCTGAATGAGTAGCAATCTAGATTGGTATTTTTAAATAATGAAGAATAGCATCTAACATATATACCAAATCTTTAAATTTTACTAGTTAGAAAAATTTTTATGTAACAATTCATAATGCAAGAAATAGAGTTTATTTAATTGTTGGAGTCCTAGAATTTTTACTAAACTGAAATTAACTCAGAATTGAAATTTCATAATCATTTTTGGATAGTTATAAAAAAAACCTCAAAAACATTTAAAGCACCAAAGCTTTCCCCATTATTTCAAGATTCAAGTAGTACTCCACAGCCAATGAGAACATCAGAATCAATTAAAACTACTAAAACACAAAATTTTCTAAAACATTTAAAACTAATATTATGATTTATTTTGACACTATAAAATCCTATGAGCCTAATAAAGAAAGTAAGGTAATAACTGTAGTGTTACTCATCAGAGCTAAACTACCAGCTGAAGATTTCTCTGTCATATACTGTAAGTTCCAATGTAATAAAATTAGTGTAACTTAACTAGAATATAATGCAATAAATGGCTTTTATTTAAAGGAGGCATGGGACATACTGACATACTTCAATGTAAGGTTGGGAGGACAAGAAGGGATAGACCAAAGAATTAATATAATTGTATGCATAGTCCATGGACACGGGCAATAGGACAGTGAAGACATGAGGAGGGTGGGCAGGGGAGGGGGTAGTGGTTAGGAATGGGAGATATCTGTAATACTATCAACAATAAAAAAGTTATTAAAATATAATAAATAAAAAGTCTCCGTACAAAATGTAATTTGTTCAAAGGCAAATATAAAAATAAAATTCTATGACATGAGTTATTTCAGAGACATGATTTTTACAGACAACAGAAACAGTAAAATTTCACAAATTTAAAAAAATTGGTTTTAAAAAGAGTGAAAAAACTCCTATTAAAGGGCATGGCATATGTATACTAAATGAAGGCAATTAGAATCCTTTACCTTTGAGCTGCTGTTTTTACAACTGGTATCTGTGCATTAGCATGATGAAAACATCTACCATCAATAACAGTTCCAGAACGTAATGATGAATTCTGTGTATTTTCACTACAAATTCAAGAAAAAAAGAATAATTTGAACAATGGAAAATTACAAATACATATGCAAAATCCTTTAAAATCTGAGTGCATGCACAAAACCACTTGAAATGTATAAACCAAATTGGCCATGTTAAATTGTACATTAAGAGTTTTCCACTTTCTGAATTTATCTCTGAACTAGAGGCCTGGTGCATGAATTGGTGCATGGGTGGGGTTCAGCTATCTTGTCCAGATGAGGCTGGGCTGGCTGGGGGAAGAGGCCACGAGCTGTTGGCCAGCTGGCCCTGGTCCCTGGTAGAACTCCCATTTAAGGGGACAATTTACATATTAGCCTTTTATTATATAGGATGTTTCCAATACAATTCATGAAAGTTAATAAAGAGTAGAACACTAGAATAGAAATCATGAATTCTAAATAAATGTTTAGTATTATAAGATTTCCAGTAAATTAATTCTGATGTTTTCTCTCCTTATTCTCTATTTATAAATGAGACTATTATAAAAAGTTTTAAAACCAGGAGCACTAGTTTTCTTGCATTCCAAAATAAAATGTTAATTGTAAAGAAAATAATGTGTTCTAAATTCTATTTCTAATTCTGCCACTGACTCAAAAGTTACTTAGCTTTTATGTACCTCCGCTGCCCGCCTCTAAATTGACCAAGTAGAAATGAAATTGTGATTTTCAACCCTACTTCTGGAAGATGTAACAGCCCAGTCATATCATAACAGTGGTTCACTCTGACAACTACTAGGAAAGGTGAAGTGCCTTTACCTCAACTTCTTTTTGTTGCTCAACATGTTAAGTCCAATTGGGTTGCCCTTTAAAGGTTTAAAATTATCAGACTTGTTTCGTCTTGCATATATCTTCCAAGAATCACCAGAACCAGTAGCAACAATTTCAGATTGACGAATTAACTGTAAAAAAAAAAAAAAAAAAAATCCACAATTTATCAACAACTATTTGAAAACTAATTTATTAAAAAGATAGTAAAATATACTAGCTATTAAGGAAGGGTGAGAAGGGTGGCAATGGCATGGATCGAAGAGTAATTCAACAATAATACTTTTATTATTAAGGCCAACATACACATAGAGGAACATGGGTTTTATGAAATTATTTTCTTTATCACAAATATATTTTTATTGATTTCAGCCAGGAAGGGAAAGGTAGAGAGATAGAAATATTAATGATGATCGACTACCTCCTGCATGCCCCACACTAGAGATCGAACCTGCAACCTCAGCAGGTGACCTGATAAAAAATAAAACCATGACTTCCTGGGTCATAGGTCGATGCTCAACCACTGAGCCATGCCATCCAGAATGGCATTGTTTTCTTTTCATTTAAATATCACCAAAGACATTTGAGAAAATTTTAAAAAAATATAGGCATACTCTCTCCGGAGCACACCTACTTCTTTAGTTACCTGTCCTGCCCCCAGGCAGATTACCTTTGCTCTTTTCTCTCCTAAACTCCTAGAGCCCTTCTTTTGCTTCTGTAACTTGTTTTCTGAGCCTATGCAGCCCAGTTGGCTCACTTCTACCTTTGTAACTTTCTATAAACTTGCTCTTATAATAAAAATAAAAATAAAGTGTACAAAAAAAGGGATGAGGGTGGAGGATCTTAGCATAGCTCTTTCCTACAAGAGCAAAAAATAAACATTTCTCCTACTTCCTGCTACCTGGAAGGAAGTACAACCAAATATGCCTTCTACTTCATTTCAGCTTAGACAGTGACTTTGGCTTTAGCACAAAAGTTTCTATATAAACACAAAAACAGAAATGTTTTCATACTTTCAAATGATTATATAAACATACGCATATCACTATTTAGGTAGCTCACACTATGACAATATAATGGGCCCTGAACCAGGAGGTCACAGTTTGATTCCCGTCCTGGTAGGGCACATGCTAGGGTTGCGGGCTCAATCCCCAATAGGGGGCAAGAAGAAGACAGCCAATCAATGATTCTCTCTCATCATTAATGTTTCTATCTTTCTCTCCCTCTCTGAAATCAATAAAAATATTTAAATAAATAAAATACATCTTTTTAAAAAGACCAATCTAACTCTAAAGCCTATGATTTCCCAAAATGCACATGAATTTTTATAGCATTGTTTGTAGAAATATAAATACTGTTAACAAGAGCCAAAAACAAGCAATGTTACTCCACAAAAGACTGAAAATCATCAGGATGCAGAACATCTCAAATAAAAAAAAACTGCCCTGGTCAGGTGACTCAGTTGGTCCTGTACACCAAAAGGTGGCAAGTTTGATCCCTGGTGGGAGCAGGTGCAGAAGGCAGCTAATAGATGCTTCTCTCGCTGTCCTCCTCCCCCTTCCTATCACTAAAAAAACAAAAAGAACTATACTAAAAATTCCTGGCTCAATTCCAGGTATTGTCACATGTCTGGATTGTGGGCTCTATCCCAAGTGGGGGCATGCAAGAAGCAGCCAATCAATGATACTCTCATCATGGATGCTTCTATCTCCCCCTTCCTCTCCAAAATCAATAAACTTATATTTAATATTTTAAAAATCTTTCTGGTAGTGGATGCCCCAAAGCAAGCATCATTGGCATCTCCCCTCCTGAAGTCAGGTCAGAGTCTTCCAAAGAGCCAGGACAGATGCAGAAACTATCAGAGGTTTCAGCTTTGAAGCAACTGATGAGATTCACCCCTAACTGCTCCTCCCCTTCTGGCTTGATCGCCCACAACTGCCTTCCCTTGCAGGCCTGGACCTCCTTCCCCTGCCCTTCAGACCTAGTCACCCCCAATTGCCCTCCTCTGCCAGCTATCTTGTGGCAGCCATCTTGTGTCCACATGGGGGCATCCATCTTGTGTGTTGGAGTGATGGTCAATTTGCATATTGCTCTTTTATTAAATAGGATTATTGGCACAGACTATACAATATATCTATCTAAATTGAATCACAGTACCAAACATTATTATTGATGGGTATGAAGTTTGAAGGATTCAATCAAAAGAACACTATTTCACTATACCCTGACTGGAAATCGAACCAATGACCTTTGGTACATTATCAGGTGTGATCAATAAACAATTAATAACCTTTTGAATGACAAAAACAACAACAACAAAAACACACCCCACAAAGAATTGTTTCAACTAGCCCTGCTGATGTGGCTCAATTGGTAGAACATCATCCCATGTACCAAAGGTCATTGGTTCGATTTCCAGTCAGGGTATAGTGAAATAGTGTTCTTTTGATTGAATCCTTCAAAAAATGTAAAAACTGTTTCAGGTCATAGACCATAGATTACAGATTGGATATGGTCTATGAGCTTTGGTTTGCCAACCCCTGTATTATAACATTAATCATTAAATAACTAATGAGAATAGCCAGTTACTAGAATTTAAGCTCCAAAAGAACAAGAAGCTTCTCTGTTTTCCTCCCTAGCATTTAGAACACTATGCTCAATAATTAATTGGGGCAGCTAAATGTGCAAAAATTGTAAATATGATATCTTCCAGACAATCATCACACACCACATAGTGAATTTAACTAAAAACAAGTATTTAGGAAATTCAGCAACTAAGAACTTCAGGTAATACCGTATTTCCCCGAAAATAAGACATCTTCTGAAAATAAGACCTACTTACAGATTTCCTTCTGACTGAAATATGTCATCCCCCCAAAAATAAGGCCTATCTCCAGACTCTTGATATTGCAATAAACAAGCCATTCAAAGACAATTTGCACATGGAAATTAATGACTACATTGAAAATAGAATGGAGAGAAATCAGTGTGGAAATTTTGTGAAACCTAAACTGCAAGAAGTTGTGACTTGGGTGAAGAATTCATGGGAGAAAATCACTGACAGTTGCATTGCAAATGCACTGCGAGCAGGCTACCTTGACAAGAAGTACTCATTTAAAGACAGTGCTATTGCTAAACATGAGAGATTTGGTCCACTGATTCTGAAAGAAATGGAGTCACAAGAAATTCACCAGGAAATTCAGGAATTGGATTGTTATGATGATGTTCCAGAAGATGATGACATGATTGTCATTGAATAAATGAGTAAATTCTTGATACTGTAGGATTCACAGTTTGTCTGGTTTGTGTTGACAACTACCGTACCGTATACAGGTAATAAATTTCCTTTATTTTCATTTAACAATAAATGTGTACCATATTCTTCTTCATGGAAAAATAAGACATCCTCTGAAAATAAGACCTAGTGCATCTTTGGAAGCAAAAATTAATATAAGACACCGTCTTATTTTAGGGGAAACAGGGTATAACCTAAAATAATCTACTAAATGATTAGAGACATTAAAGGCATTTAAATACACACACACACACACACACACACACACACATATATATTTATTAATTTGGAGGGGGGTGGAAACAGAGAGATCAATGGTGAGAGAGAATCATTGATTGGCTGACTTCTGCATGTCCCACACTGGGGATAGTACCCATAATCCTGACATATGCCCTGAAAGGGAATCAAACTGTGATCTCCTGAGCCATGCCAGCTGGGTGGTATTTTAAGTTCTTAAAACAGAAAGGGAAACAGTAAATAATTATTATTTTTTAAATTTTTATTTTTTTTAAATATATTTTATTGGTTTTTCATAGAGAGTTAAGAAACATCGATGAGAGAGAATCATTGATCAGCTGCCTCTTGCACACCCCCTACTGGGGATGTGCCCGCAACCAAGGTACATGCCCTTGACCTGAATCGAACCCGGGACCTTTCAGTCCACAGGCCGACGCTCTATCCATTGAGCCAAACCAGTCCCGGCTAAATAATTATTGTTTTTAAAAAACTGTAAGAGAAACAACAGAAGTTCTATAAATAATGTCATTGAAATGCTTTTAAATACATATATGTATAGATTAAATGGCAGATTAACTCTAGCTGAATATGAAAGTTAGTGAATTAGAAGATATCTTTTGAGAAAATGACCTTGAATATTAATATTGTTCGAGGATGGTTTCTTTCTCTGCTCTTTATACTTCCTTTTTTTTATTTCTTATGTAAAATACAGGCCAAGAATATGGGGAAAAAATGGTCTTAATATGTTGAATAGAAGTCCCAGAAAATATAATGGGGAAAGATAATAGCAAAAAGGTAATAGCTAAAATGTTTTCAGAACTAATAAAAGACATACATTCTAAAGAGGGACAATGAAACTACAGAAACTCAACAACTAAGAGGTTATTCTGTGAGAGAGAAGGGGAAGACTATAAAGACACTTTGAATTAAGTTAAAAGCTTTATTTTATTTTAGTTCATGTTCATTTTCAAATGGAAAAAAGTTACATTAGTTTAAAGCAATGATCCGTATGAACCTATATATGACATACAATCCATTTTCTCCTAATTCCATGTTCATTTTCAAATGGAGAAAAGGAATTACATTAGTTTAAAGCAATGATCCATACGAACCTATATATGACATACAATCCATTGTGAACTTGTAACACACCCCCCCTCCCTTCCAATCACGCCCTGATAAACAAAAGACTTTAGGAAAGGATAAGTAGGCATGAATAGTTTTAAGAAAATCAGTTGGTAGAAAAAAAACCACAATGGCGGCACAGGTGAACACCTAAGAGCTTCACAGATAAGAAAAAGTTCATCACCACCAAATGAGTATTAGTATATGAAAAGCTGAAAGGTATTCTTTAAGAGGAGGAGGAAGAAGAAAAGGTAAAGATAAAAATTATGAACAACAAATACATATCTATCAACAACTGAATCTAAAAATCAAGGGAATAAAAAAATCTGATGAGCAGAATAAACTGGTGAATAGAATAGAATCAGGGGCATAGAAAAGTAGTGGACTGACAGTTCTGGGGTGGGGGAGGGATGTGGGAGTGCGGGAAGAGACTGGACAAAAATTATGCACCTATGAATGAGGACAGTGGGGGTGGAG